ATTTTGGCTACTGCCTTCCCCTCGTCCACCAGGGCAGCGAACTCTGGTTGTGAACTCTGGGGGAGGGAATCCTTAAACTTGGAGACTGATGCCCAAGAATTGAAATTATGTCTGTTCAGAATCGACTGTTGGTTAGCGATCCTCAACTACAGGCCCCCAGACGAGTAGATCTTCCTACCAAATACATCCAAGAGCTTTGCCTCCTTGGCTTTGGGGGCCGGTGCTTGCTGGCAATGCCGCTCTCGTTCGTTGACCACAGAGAAGACCAGCAAACAGGGTGCTGGGTGAGAAAAGAGGAAGTCGAACCCTTGGAGGGGGCGAAGTACTTCCTCTCTATGCCTTTCGCAGTTGGTGCACTGGAGGACGGTGTTTGCCACACTGTCTTATAGTTCGACTGTACTGTTTTTATGAGCGGGAGTGCAATCCTGGAGGGGCCTTCCGGGCTTAGGATGTCAACCATGGGGTCCTCCTGCTCTATAGTGTCCTCCTGCTCTACAGTCTCCTCCGCCTGCAACCCCAGATTGAGGGCTACTCGGCGGAGCAGATCCTGGTGTGCCCGATGGTCAATCGGGGGAGGGCCGGACACTGTCATGCCTGCCACGGCTTCATCTGGCGAGGAGGAAGAGGTTAGGGCCTTCTGTGCATCCTCCTCTTCCTGCAACTCCTCACCTACCGGGCGCTCCTCTGGGGTCTGTCCTACAGTGTGGGCCTGAGACGGTGCCGGGCTTGGTGCCAAGTCGGCTCTTTCTTGCTCCGGTGGTCTGGAGACCGTGGCCTCCTTGCACGAGGAGGGGCGCCCCTGCGGGGAGTGGGACCGGTGTCTCGAGGGGCCAGATCTCGAGGTCCTGGACGGGAGGCCTTGCTGGTGGTAGGCCCAAGGGGTCCAGAATGGCTATTGTCCTGGCTGGCCCCACTGTGGGTGCCAAGCGGCTTCGTGTTCCCTACCGGCCGGTGCCCTCTGGGCAAATCTGCTGGACTGGTCCGAGTCTGCCTCCAAAACCACGGACGGTGACCTGGATGGCCACGGTGGTGCCATGGGACAGTGCCGGTCCGGGGTCGGAGAGTAGTACCTCCGTGACTGGGACTGGGAGTAACGTCTTGCCGGCCTGGACCTGGACCGGTACCGGTGACCTCAGGACCGGGAACAACTGCGAGTGGTCGGTCTTGAGGATCGTGTGGCTGACACGTCCCGGTGCCTACTCGAGTAGGGCTGCTGGGTCGGTGCCGGGCGCTTGTTGGGGCCCGACGGCTGTGCAGCCCTCTGCACTGAGGGTAGCCGGGAGTCCACCGAGGTGGAGCTCGAGCGGGAACGGCGCCTTGAACGGTGCAGAGATGGTGACCATGATGTGCGCACCATTGCCGGCTTGCCTCTGGATGGCAGTCTTGGCGGATTATCTTTGGCTTGGAGGGGACCCTCAGCGGACAATTTGATGAGGTCCTTTGCTGCCTCAAATGTGTCCGGGGTGGAGGGCTGTTCCAAAAGCTCCTCCAGCCCTTCCTTTTCACCCGATGCGCCTATCCCGGGGCTCGAAGGGCCTCTCGGCACCGGAGCCACTGGCACCGGGATCTGTCCTGGGGTTGCCACTCTCTTAGGCGCATTCGAGGTCTTCGCAGGCGCTGCCCTCTTATGTGGGGAGCGTCCTCGGGCCTTGGGTTGGCCCTTCGATTTTGCCAGCGAAGATGACCGGTGCCGGGGACGGTCTTGCTGTGTCGGTGCCGTCGACTTGTGGTGCCTCGCCAGTGCCAGATCACGAACCGATGCCAGGGCACTCCGCACCGAAGTTGACGGTGCCGCGGCCTGATGCGTCGAAGTGGAGGGCTGTAATGCAGCCTCCATGAGCAGCTGCTTAAGGCGAAAGTCTTTCTCTTTCTTAGTCCTGGGTTTGAAGGCCTTATAGATCTCGCAGCGCTCTTTTTGGTGTGCTTCCCCCAGGCAACGGAGGCACGAGTCGTGGGGATCGCTTATCAGCATAGGCTTGCGGCATGTGGCACAAGCCTTGAAGCCTTGGGCGTGCGGCATGCCCCGCCGCCCAGGGCCGGTGTCGGGATTGACCAAACACCTAAAACAAAGGAGCTTAACTACTACTAAAGAACTGTTAACTGCTAAGATTAACACTAGGTACTAAAGAACTGATAACTGCTAAGAAGAACACTAACTATTAACGCTAAGGGACACTCTCAAGCGAGAGACAGTTGTTCCAACGCCGTCACGGACGGTAAGATGGAACTGAGGGAGGATCGGGCCCGCAGGGGTATATATATGCTAGAGCGAGGCGCTGCTCTGGCGGGAGGGGGGACCCTGCCGGCCCGACGGGAGCCGCTGAAGGGAAAAGTTTCCGACGTCCGTGCACGCGATGCACGCACACCTAATGTGTAATGGACGTGAACAATCACTCGAAGAAGAACAATAGTAACAACATACTTTCTTTTGTCTAAAACGTAACAGTTTACAATCCTGGTCTCAGGCAATTTCTCATCTACAGTCAGTTCTCAGCATCTTCATCCTCCATGGTTGAAGGATCAAGTTTTCACAGATTCCAAGAGTGCTGGCCTCTTCTGTCCTTTACAGTGATGGATATTAAGCACTGTTCTCTCACCTTCTTCTTATAGCCCAGTTAACTTTTGAAATGTATTCTTTTGAAGTGTATCCCCAGATAAAGTTATTCTCCCCTGCCGATGAACAGAGGCCGTCTTCCTCATCCTCTTGAGGATTAGCTCTTTCTGTTGATTATTTTGTTTACCTTAAATTCAAATGTACTTCCACTGTATCTGGCATCACCTCGCTCAATTTACACTGGACGCACAGGTAAACAGGCTAAACAACATTCCTTTGCCCAGGAAAAATGTGTTCATCAAGTCCACCCCGAAAACGTATTTTAGGAACATATTTCCAGCACACACACACACACAACTCATTACAAATCATTCATATGTGCTTCATGCAATGATATTCATGACTAGTGTGTCACCAGTTTTCATATTATACCTTCCAAGACACTGTTCATAGTACAATACGTTGAGTTAATTGCTTATTCTTCGGGATTCAGACCCCCTGCTCTCCCCCTGGGGTGTCTGGATCCAGACTGTCACAACACCAGAGAAGCTGGTGTTTGCCAGAAGAATTTAGCAGTGTCCAAAGATTTGATAGTGTTGATATGTAAAGCTACCTGCCTGGGTACAGCTCAGTATAATATAGTCAATAATCTGTGAAGGCTTTCTTGGACCATTGCCCCAGGGATAGCACAAGACAAGACAACCCTCTGCATGAAATTCTGGAAGGATCTATAGTCATTCAGGATCCATGAAGAGGATTCAGGTACAATGGTCTCTTCTGGTGAGGAAGATGGACAGCTGCATTGGAATCTGCTGTTCCTCCTGCATGTCCCCATCCAAAGGAGCCAAGCTAGCAACAGGATGAGCCATTTGAGGGAGCACAATCTCTTTTCTAGAAGGTTGGTCTGGATTGAGAGGTTGAGACAGATCTCATTGCTTGCAGGATGCCCCCTGGCATTCAATAATATCAAAGTGAGTAAGTGTAAGGAGCTGGTGGCTAATAAGGAGGATGTCAAGGAATTATCTTCTTAGCCAGGGACCTGTAGGTATGATTGTAAGAACACTTTATAGAATGCTGCCTGGATGTGGATGGTGGGGGAAATTTCAGTGCATGGGATTTAGCAGGGGAAGCCTCTCTGCTGCTCTGTAAATCTGTGAGGAAAAAGAATATTCCTTTGGTAAGGATAGTGGAGTGCCAGTAGGTGTAACCTGAAGCCCTTATAGTCAAAGGCTTCAGACTGGCTTTAATGGTACTGAAGCCAGTCCCAGGATCCTGATTTGACATATAAGAGAGCCTGGAACTGACATGCAGAGCAAGTCTCTGGCTGCCATAGATACTTGAGGATTTCATGGTACTGAGAGTATTGGTGCTGCAGTCATCAGTGCCATCTCTGAAGACATCAATGGTATTGATGTCAGGGTTACTGCTACCAAAGGAGCGCTGGAGGGTAGCAGCTTCACTGGCACCCAAATGGTCGGTACTGGCAACATTGGGGTACCAGTGCCAAGTAATTTAATGTAGACGCTCCAGCTCAGTACCAGTCAACTTATGAGGTACCTTTTCACTGAGAGTATGAGGGTCAGAGTCTCCGCAGGTGCTCCAGGCGCCCTTTTTGGGTCCTGAGCTATCACTGATATATACAGAGCTTAAAGTTCTATGAGTTTTTGATGATGTTCCCAGGCATGGGAACAGTGCCTCTTTTCTCTGGTCATCTTAAGGGTTTTTCTCCATCTATCAGAGGACAAGGACCTCAGTGATGGAACAGATGGAGTTGGAGCTGCTGGAGCACATTTAGAGGTGGCGGGCTTCACTTGATCAGTTTTAGGCTGGCCAGGATCACAGACTGGAAGTATACAACTCTCCATAAGTTATTCTCTCAGACAGGCTTCCCTGGATTTTGCATTCTCTAGAAAAGCACTTGCAAATAACACATGTCCTTAACATGACCTTCACCTAAACAGATGAGGCATCTAATATGCCTATCATTAACAGCCATGACTACCTTGCAAGACAAGCAGTTTTTAAAACCTGGGGACTTATGCATGACTAAAGTCAGTACTGCAGTACCACCTCAGGAACAAAACAAATAAAAACAAATCTTCTATTAGAAGACAACAAAGGAAATACTATATACTAATGACTACATTAAGTATTTACATAAGAAAAGTTATTGATGAGCACAGGAAAACAGTGAGCACAAGGTGTCACTGGGATCTCAAACTTTTAGCAACAGGTGGTCAGAAGGAACTGAGAGGTAGACAAGGGAATCCTGCCCTTTATGCCCTCCGTTGGAGGAATGAGGACACTCAGGGAGTGTGCACCACCATGATGGGTATTGATCACCAGAATCCTCCAGCTCAAGTGCACTGGGAAGCACACACACTTACAGTGGAATATATATGTCAAGCACTCAAAGGAAAATCCTATATTTTGGCAGCTGCTTTACCTTGTCAATATCAGCAACAGTAATTATTTCAGGTTTTAAAACTTTGTCCTCCCTTGAATGGAAAGATGGTTCTTGAGATGATCTCTCAAAATCTTGAATGAAATCTTTAGATACTCCTACTGAACTGTATTCTACATCCAACTGGCCAGATAGTCTCACAAGAGTGTTCTTATAAATACTGGATTAACAAAATGAACCAAAGAAAACTAAATTATATGTTTCTTACTAATTAAACAGAAAAGAATTACTAATTACCTGTAGCTTTCAACACTAAAGCAGCTTCATTAAAAATGTTCGTAACATTTTTTCAGTAGATCTCTCTATTTATGAGGTAAACTTATTAGTTCGATCAGTGATACTCAGACTCAGCATTTCAGGAGCCAAATTAGCAATCAACATTACCAAAATGAGTCACAGTAGTGTGAATTCATTATTTCATTTACTATTTTTATATATATATATATATTTATATATTCTCACAGCAAAACAACTGACCAAGTATTATTATTTTATCATCTATATCCTGATTGGTTAATAACTTAGATTGGTTGATATTAAAACACTATGTGATTTAATTATATGCTGCAAGGAGCTGCAGGAGACACATTAAAGAGCCACTTTAAAGAGCTTGTGAGCCTCAGTTTGAGTATCACTGAGGCCTTGGCTACACTAGCGCTGTACAGCGCCAGTGTAATCAGTGCTTGCAGCGCTGCAAGCTATTCCCCTCGGAGAGTTGGAGTACTTGCAGCACTGCAAGAGAGCTCTCACAGTGCTGATGGCGCGACTACACTTGAATCCCCAAGTGTAGCCAAGGCCTTAGATAGAGAGACAGACTATACACTTCACTACACCACGATTTCACATCATGGCTTTATATATCAGGCATGAACTTAAACATTTTTCCAAATGAAAACACAAACATGTATTTATAATGTAATCTAGAAGGAATATAAAAATTTATAGAGTGGGGGAAACTAGATGACTCAAGGAACTGGTAAAGAAATATGAAGACCTTCAGTTTTAGGCCAAGTTCATACATGGTTCAGACAAGTAGTGATGGAATATTGTCGTACACTGACAGCTATATACTTTTCTTGGTGAAAGGAGTTGTGATCCCAGTCCAGATCCCCAATATTATATAAACCAATATCATGTAGCAGCCTATTAATCTCAGAAATATGAAGAACTACATGGAAACAGAAACTAAATTACACTGCCACCTCTAGAGGGTCATCTCTGGAAGTCTGGGTGGAGGACACATTGTTTAGGCGGTATACAGATAACTGGATAGTTGTTAGCTGTGTTACATCTGTTTTATGGATAAAGAGAAAAATTCAGATGCCAGGATGTTAATTCAGCACTTTTTCAGGGCACTAAAATTCACTTAAAATTTTTTTTGAAATACTTCAATGAATAGAGCACAATGAGGAAAAAATTACAAACTATGAATACTCACATCAAATGTAGGTTACATTTTAACTAATGTCAAGTAAATCCCATAGTTTCCTTACTCACAGATCTACTCATTCATTAATGTGTAACTTCCCCAGCCTCAATTACACTTAAAGAAAGTTCACTGACCAAATAAGGAATTATTAGTTTAAAACAACAGGTCATGTATTTCCATCATAAATGCAGTTACTATAGCCAAGTTACACAAATCCAACTTTATATTGCAGACTAAGGGTACAATCCAAAGCCCACTGAAATCAATGGAAAGACTCCCATTAACTTCAGTGGGCTTTGGATCAGGCCATAAGAATGGATCTATAGATCTGGGCCCTAAATGGGGAAGGAACCCAGGAACTGGTAAAGTACGGAGCTTTAGATCCAAGAGAGGCACACTGCACAGACCCAAAATCTGGCAGCCTACCCTCTTTTCACCTGGAGCAGTGAAGAAAGCAGATGAATGTTGCGCTTGAGCCCCTTCCCAGCCCTGGGTCTAAGAGCCATGGATCTGCCGCTTACTGTACTGATGTCTCCATTAACAGTAATATTAAGAGACAAATCTCATATCTCTAAGTATTTACATATAAGGAAATCATGCGTGTACAGGGCTTGAAAACAATGTGGAAGAAATTGATGGTCCACAAACAATATAAAATCAGAGCAAAATAAAAACTAATCAGATTACTTTAAGAAAATAATATAATAAAATTAAAACATTTTAAACCCGTGCTCGCGACCAAGAGTGCCAGAAATAACCTTATAAGGTTTTCATTCTTCTTTTCATCTGGATTGGTCACATTGCTGGAACCCTTAAATAACTCCAGTAGCAGCTGGACAGCATTGTGCACCAGTTTACGTAGCAGTTCTTGGAAGATCTTGTCAACTAGCAGAAGAAACCTTGAAAAGCGTTTCATCATCTGACGCCATTCACTTATCTCAGCATATTTTGGATTTTCTTTGCTGTCACTTGGCACAGACTGAAAAAGGTTTTGAGCTCCCTTCATTTCTGCCACCTACAGTGTTAGTAAAAATAAATTTAGAAAAGTATGCCTTAAATCCCTTAAACATCACATTCAGCACATTTTGTAACAGTCAACTTTTTATTACAGACTTTTCTGTATTGTTCAGAAATGCTTTTATTTAAAGTTCCAGAGAGAGAGAGACACCATGGAAATTCAGTTTTTCTATGCTAAATAAGACATAATACTTCTGAAAGAAATAATTCTTTATCTTTTTAATATGTTGTTAGTAGAATATCAATAAGATAAATATTACAAAACAACCAAAAATATACATTAGTAATAAACACTAAAATAAAACGAAGGCCCTATCCAGAGTGACCTCAAAGCCTAATGCCTACCATACCTTTATGTAAGCTTTTACTATAATATATATATATATATATATACACACACACACACACACACACACACACACACACACACACACACACACAACAACTAAACTTAAACTTAA